GGCTTTCTTGTATTTTGTTTTTGTTTTTTTCTATCATGCTTTTGGTTGTTTGTTTGTTGTTTTTTTTGCTCCACATTAGGCTAAGATACTAGATTTTAAAAAAAGGTTTGACTTGGACTGTGAGGAGCGTGAAAAACACATAGGCCTACGCTATGTGACGGCATTAAATAATAGATTAAGGTTGAAGCTGTACATTTTCCATTGTCTCCATAGGCATGCAGACTGTACAATTGAACTAGTAACAGCAAAACCCGCTGTATTGTTGGCTAGGCCTACATACATCCAATTTCACAAGAACTTTATTGACGCTTTCCCCCCTTTTTATTTCTCCTAGATTGAAACTAAAACAGGAATGAACGCATTAAGATTATTCAGAAACGAATGTATTTGCTTTTTGCAGCAAGGCAAAGATCTTCCAAGATAGTTCTCTCCTCTCAATGAATGTACATGCATGGGAAATATAGTACAAGGGTGACATTGTTACGGTACTACTCTCTCATGGCAATTTCGTGAACAATAATATTGTCATTGGTGAATTTCATTAAACTTATGATGAATGCACCAACAAGGACAGCATTTGTGGATCTAACAAAACGTTATAAAATTGTTAGATCTCGATTTATAGACGCCATTACTCATAGCCCTTTTACACGGCGCTACCTCAGAATTACAAAGTTGTAGATCTCTGCTGAGTGCCTAGAACTAGATCTAGTTTTGAAACATTTGACGTCAACAATGTTGAATTCACAACATGTCAAGCTTTTTTTTCGAATGAAATCCTATGAATGTCTTGTTCATGACTCCGAATAATCTTATGGTTTTGATAGAGCAGAAAGAACATTTGGCGTTTTTATCTCATGGTCTTAGTAACTGAAAACGGCCAAAAATGTCATGTAGAACGTTATAATTCTAATGTAGAGATTGGTAGAGTCATGGGGGTAAACAGTATGACGGAGGACTTGATCAGAAGGTTTTTTTTCATCAGATTTTGCACCTGTCAGGCACCAAGCCTATTCTAAACTAAGCTACACAAGTTTAATAGAGACTTGGGGGCATCTTGTTTTGGGAATTCTGTTCCATCGTTTACAGGAGCTAAATTATATGCTGCTGTAACGTACTTTTCGGGTCTTCAATACCTTACCGTAATCGGAAAGACAGATGAGGAAATGAGACAGGCCAAGAACAACATTTTGCCTATTTAAAAAGTCTAAATTCCTGGCCAACTAGAATTACCCAGTACTATTGTTCTGCAATATTCTTGAGGATGACTGAAGGTCTTCCTTAGGTTGATCTCAACGATCGCTTGTGTTCTCACTGACCTGGCATTTGCGAGAAAAGATTGTTCTTCTGACAAGCATTTTCTCAAGCTCCCAACAAGTCTTAATTACTTAATTAGTCAGATAGACCATGCTGTTAGAATGATTTTCAACGTCATCATTTACACACTACAGAACCGTAGTAAATATAGGAAGACGGCCCAACATCAGCTCAAGCAAACTGGAGTGGCGAAAAAGAAAAGAGAGAGAGAGAGAGAGAGAGAGAGAGAGAGAGAGAGAGAGAGAGAGAGATTTAAAAGAAATAGTTTAATTCTAACGTTTCCGGGTCGGCGGGAAGGAATTCTTTGTGGAGGGCTGACGGCAGATTTTCGGGTGTGTACAACACAGACAGAGACAGAGAAAAAACACACACATTAGAATCCTAGGAAAGCAGGAAAGAAACGAAATAGAAGAAAATGACAGACAAAATTCGCCGACTGTCGGACAGATCAACAAATTATTATAGGTCCATAATTAGGCCTCTTTTTAAATTTAATAAATTTAGTATCATCCTACAGCTTTTCGGGTCTCCTATGATTAAGTGATAAATACTTACATCTTAGTATGTTGCAGACACGTTCAACCACTGTCAGAATATACGGAACAACCCACTGGGCTTCTGGCACAAATGTAAAACCAAAATTCGACTTTCGTCGACTTGTAGGTATGGGCTAAAACTTACATGTTTTTAACGCACCTCTTGGCCCCTGAGCTTGTGTAGCGCTTATCTCCTTTTGTCAATAGAAGAAACCCTGAACTGAGACCTGTGACGTCAGACATTTACGGGCGTCTTTTGGAGACAACATTAAGGACCCCCTCTCTCTGGTTGCCCTTATTCACTACGCCTCTTTCAGATCGAAGAAGATCGATATTTAAAGCAATAACCCGGGTGTGGGCATAAAGATCTCCTTTGTTGTCGTTATAGGGGGAGGGACTGCTTGCGTCGACAGGTCTTTCTTAAAGAATATTTTCCGTTTACTGTAAAGGTTCCACAGTAAAGAGCTCACAGAAAAATTTTAACCAACGATCCCTTCGTTCCTTAATCTATCTTAGATAAATTGTTTTAGGCCACATTGTTATTTAGTCATACCTTTTTTTTTTTATCATAGCAAGGCCGAGTGGCAATTTTGCTCTCATGCTATGTCGGCTTGCGAAGAGGCCATTAAAAATATAGGCCTTTTTTTTTTTAACATGTAATTTACTTTAGAACCCATTGGTGTCTTCTCATAACTTTTATGTTTCGTGGTAGAACACTTGGATTATCTTTTAGTAGGTTTGCACTAGCCAAAATATAAAATGGCGAAGATTTACATAGACCTATTATAATAGGCTCTATACTTCTTCGTTTACCTATGTCCATTTTATAACAGCATTAAACTTCTTCAGCACGCTAAATTTACTTCCTAATATTCCATTTGAATTATTTTTGTATGCCAAAGAAGAGCAGCTTGCTGGCTGGAGACGAGTCGAGTGATCCATTTCCAATTTATTTGGTGAGAAGATATTGTTAACGAGGAAATCCTTGAGAGAGTATCAATTTTTAATTATATTATAGGATAGTTTAGGGTGAATAAGTGCCCACAGCATGACACCACGAGTTACATATATCTATGTCGAACAACAAATCAAACCAAACCTATCCAAGCTATCAACAAGTAAGCAACAAACAAACATAATTGAAAAGTGAAAAAATGATTTAAAGTCAGCTTTTACAGAGAGACCTAGTTTTCCAAACCGCCATTTGGATATATACCGTTATGGCTCATTTGAAAACATGTACAAGAAAAAGGCTTACCGAGTACTAAGCCTGGTTAAGGGGGGTGGGGGGGGGGGGACACCTGAAGGCTATCTTGATTAATGGTAGCCCAAATTTTACCAAATTTCACACATATATAACAAGCATAGTAAGCAGTCTTAAAATCCGCAGTCAAATTTTGGAGAAAAAAAGTTTCATTTCCATGGATACGGCGACCACATAGGATTTTGTTGACATGTCTTACGTAATTAATACCGCAATTATTTTTCATGGAAATTGATTTTTTATGCATGTTAGCAAACATTAGATCTACAAATTTATCCTAAACGTATTTGAAATTTTTTTATTAATTTTTTCCTGAGGCAGTATTCAAGTTTGCAAAGAATCTGAGGAAATCCACACTCCAGACACCACCAACAAAAATCTATTCCATGTATCAAAAATTCAACATAGTAATTTTTAGTATTACTATTACTCCATTCTGTGAAAATTTCATGAAGATTGGATAAAAAATGGTATGGCGCTCATATGACCATATTATGCAGTTGCGAGCGCCGTAAAACCTCTTCTTAAAAAAAGGGAAAGCTATTTTTTTTAAAGTAGGCTATTAGAAAAATTGCGTTTTGAGAAAACGGGCGATAAAGAAAAATAAAATTATATCAATATTGACTTTATGAAGAAATTGTGGTGACAAACGTGCCGGTATGTGAAGAAATAAGGCTTTTTGTGGGTTCTTAAGTGATGAATAGTTGTAGAAGAGGCCGAGGAAGCTAAAAATGACTACAACTCAAAATCCATAATTTTGTGTCGAATCCTTTGAGGATATTTACAAAAATTTTGCTTTCATTCTATTGGAATACCAATGCCGCTATATTAGAGGAGGTTTGTTCAAAGGTGAATGTGAACCAATACAATTTTAGTTAAACGCACTAAAGTAACGAGGGATACTTTGCGGTCGCCATTTTGTTGTCCACAGAACTTCTCTTTGTGTCTCCCTTTTCTTTGAAATAAACTCTTGAATCCTTGCAATATTAATTTATGCTAATTTTATCTTAGGTTTTCTATAATATCAAGTTTTTGAATTGTAAAAGGATTTAATACAAATTATAATTGCGTGTCTTTTTAATCAACAGAACGTGTCTACAAGCTGAGTTGCTTTTTTATTTTATATATTATGTTATGGGTTTTTAAAATTTGTTTGTTTGTTTTAAAAAAAGTTTTTTGTGTGTTTTAACAGCTTGGATGAAACAGATTAAATGCTGAACATATTTTATAATTTGCATGCCGCTTCAGACTTTTTCTTTCACCTTGAAGGTGTCTGCACTAACATGGCTGTCGGGAAACATTGGTTTAGTATTTTACAGACGTGCAGGCTAATACCATGCTTTATACAACATCAAGTATTATGCCTATAAGGTTGTTCTGAAAGCTGGACGCTATACCTAGTAAACTGAGTAAAATTGAAGGAAGACTCAAAGAAGAAATCAAAATAGATAGCTAGTCTATAGTTTGTATCCCTTCTTAGTCCCCCCTAAAGGAACACATATTTTCTAGAGGTTTACATTAAACAACTGCTCGATCGATTTCCAGAGGTGCCATTCACGTTTATGTAAAGTAAATACTGTGATTCTCTAGAACCTATTCCTGTCATGTTTATTTTGACGATACCTTGGCCGTCACACTTTGATTTCAATAACAGGCCTTTTCACCCTCGACAGTTTTCAAGCGAGTACTCTGGGACTTTAAAAGGAAAGTGTAGAGCTTGATTAAACTTGAAAAGATTATAAAAAGCCGTGACACCCACACCAGAGTCCCTTGCGAGAATACTGTTACCTAGCTTGAAACGGTACCCGGTAGTCTTGAATTTATTTCAGAAGTAGCTAGTGTTTTGTGCCAAAAACGCCCCAAAAGATGTCGCATTTCACACATTTTTAGAATCAGTTAATACATTTGTACCCTAGGCTACTGGTACCGAGAACCTGTAGGCCTACAATGGGTGGGGCTATAAGACCAAGAGCTAGCCATACCTTCTCTTATAGTAGTGAGGCTATGAGGCATTTAATTGGCCTATCACCTTGATTCAACCCCCCCCCCCCCCAACCCCTCTCTCTCGATCTCTCGATCTCTCGATCTCTCTCTCGATCTCTCTCTCTCTCTCGATCTCTCTCTCTCTCTCTCTCGATCTCTCTCACGCTCTCTCTCTCTCACGCTCTCCTCTCTGTTTATAATTGTCTGTCTGTCTGTGCGTCTGTCATGTGCTTGTGTGTGTGTGTGTGTGTGTGTGTGTGTGTGTGTGTGTGTGTGTGTGTGCCCGTGCGTGAGTACGTGTGTTTGTGCGTGGGTGTGTTAGCGTGAATGAGTGAGTCGAGTGAGTGTGTGTGTGTGTGTGTGTGTGTGTGTGTGTGTGTGTGTGTGTGTGTGTGTGTGTGTGTGTGTGTGTGTGTGTGTTTGTGTGTGTATCAAGGGGGAAAAAAGTTCCTTGGTGTGTATGTATGTGCGTGCTTGTGTGTGCGTGTTGATCGTAATATATCAATACAGACTGTAAAACGCATATAGCTTTATATTGAGTGGGAACTTCACTTCTATTTACTAGTATTAGGCCTATTGGGTGTGGAGAAGGGGCACCTCCTCTCCGGTAGCTAGCCTACTCCTTATACATAATATTATGCAGTCGAACCTGTGTACGATGGAATCGCACGGGAGCCATAGAAAACAATTCCGTCTTGGGCATTTTCCGTCTTAGACAGGGGAATTTAGGGGGAGATGGAAAGGGGGTGGGGGGGGGGGTTCAAAGGCCCAGCCCGGTGGGATAAAGGATGGCTTGTCCGATTGGCAGGCAGTGGTCAAAACTTCACACCTCTCAATTGCTATCCTGTCTGATAATGACATGCCTCAGTCTTACTTATCCAATTACCAACAGCGCTTGCCGTTCATAGGACCACTGTTTGACTTATTAAAAACAGAAACGTTTGGACATCTCCTTTGCTTTCACCCTTAGCCCCACCCACCGGTGTAACAAGCACAGTCAACCAATGCCACCCCTCACTGCCATCATGTAACAACGATTCAATGAACTCTTTTATCGGCTGGCCGTACTATCAGGGCGGCAGGCATTGGTTAATCTAATTTCACACCTCTGGCTTCTGGCTACCCAGGAAAGTTTCCGTAGTGGCTCGCTGCTCGAGCACTCTTATGGGCAATCGTGAGATTTCACACCCACACTACCCTGACCATCTGCGTCGCTCAGGGCTCACATGATGGGATAACATCTACCCCCAAATTGCACCCCTACTCCCCTTCCTCGTCCAGCGGCATGGCCAAAGTAATAGCATTAGATTACGTTTAGAGTCGAACTTGCGAGTTTTGTTTCAAATCAGGGCTGAGCGGGCAAATCATTTTCCATCTTAGACAGGTGAAACCATCGGAAGGGAGCGGATTTTTCTTTCCGTTTCCACGTTGGACAGGTCTCCGTTTTATACAGGTAATTAAGGAATATATCAAGGGGGAGCGGGGAGATTCTGTTAAGAAAGGTTTCCGTTTTACAGGTTTCCGTCAAAGGAAGGTTCGACTGAAAACATTACTCCGTGGTAACTGGAGGTAAAGCCGCAACTTGAACTTCATTCAAAGCTGGGACAACAAATTAAGCAACACCTGAAGGCTTAATGTACAGGTAAAACAATATGTTGGGGAGGAATAAGGAGGCATAAATACGCAGGCTTATTATTTTTAAAATCGACTTTACCTTCTGAAACAACTACATGTACTAAGACTACTAAGAGAACGAAAACGAAACGAAATACATATATTGGACAATAATGTTCATGTACCAGATTGTTTAGAATCCTGTTCTATCAAATATTGTTTTCCTATAAGTCATGACGTCATAGCCGGCCATATTGGCAAACAAGAAACCGTGCAGTACAGAGTACCTAGAGAGAGCCATCGATAGAAGCTGAATTTTTTCCCCCTTGTAAATTCCCCGTCCTCTCTCTATACTATGGCATCCGACGCAACCGAGGAGAGAACCTCGACACCCTGTGAAACAGTGCGTGAAGAAGATGAAGACAATGTTAACGATGAGGTGATAAAAATCGAAATTTCTTTCCTCAGATTAGGTTGTCTCAACAAGACTCACCATTCACTTCACTTTCACCCCTTGGCCTTGATCTCACTCCTTCTCTGATGAATTCTCATGTCCCTAGATCTAGACTCTAGATATAGATTCTAGAATCTAGATCTAGGTCTAGAATAGATGTCTATTAGCTTTCTTATTTTTTAAATTTAGCCTTAATCGACAAAAGTAAAAGGGTCAAAACCAATCATCCCAAGCCCAATGGCAATGGTCAATGGCAATGCTGCTAACTAAACGGCCTGCTAACTAAACTTTTACATAGAAATCTTATTCTAACCCTCGTCCTGCGGGGGCCGGGTTTATGTCGCCCGATAAGCCTATTTCGGCACCTCACCTGCGTTCTGATCCCTCGGCAGTCTGGCCCCTGGCTCAGCGCACGCGTGCCGAGCATCATCTCCTGTTCAATTTAGATCCCGCTTCGGATCCCCATTCAGGGAGGACTTCCGTAACGAGCGACCACTATGAGACAGAGCAGAATTGAGGGCTTGGGGTAGGGTTAGGGGTAGGGGTCTAGGCCTCTTCTTTATTGTGTTCGAAGTGTATACAGACCCAGGAACAAAGTCACAAAGTATACAGACCTGGTAGGGGAACTCTTTTGTGGTTTCAGGAAGTTTCAGCGCCCAGACCCAGTAGTGTGTGTGTGTGTGTGTGTGTGAGAGAGAGTGAGAGCTGGGGGAAGTGCTAGCAAAATGTAATGACATGCCCCAGTTGGCAGGAGGGAACGAGAGAAAGATTGAATGGGAAATAGGTGGGAGAAAGAAATACAGAGACACAAAGAAAAAGAGAATGCGAGTGATACACAGAGACAGGAGAGAGAGAGAGAGAGGGGGAGGGTGACTGCTCGATCGAAATTATGACATTGTTCTTTTCTTCAAATTGTAATTCCTCCTACTCCAAAACGGAGGAAAAATGATCGTTCGTTGAAAAGACATCCGCATTCTTCATTTAGATAGCTAGATCTAGGCTAGCCTCGAAACTAGGCCTATAGATCTAGAAGAACCTAGGTCTACCCTGAGCCAAGAGGGCGCTGAAACTTTCCGAAATCACAAAAGAGTTCCCCTACTGGGTCTGTGTATACTTTGTGACTTTGTTTCCGGTTACCGGGTCTGTATACACACTCCCTATTGTGTTTGATGGGATGGTCGCTCGTTACGGAAGTCCTTCCCCCATTCACACAGGTAAAGTGTGTGTGCGTCAGTCTGCTTTCAAGTTTACTTGTGTGCGTTTGTGGCCTTCTTCTTGAACCGCCTTCGTTGGTTCGTAATCGAGGCATACGTCTCATTCAAAACACCCCAAGTTGGTAGCTCTAGATTTATAATGTTTGTCCAATGAAATTAGAAGAAACTGACCCCCTTAGACATGGAGCTCGAAAAAGGAATAGAGTCAGGAAACAAGACTTCCATTTTTCTATAAAAAAATTTTCAAATATGAGCTTGATTTTGTATGAAATGATACTAGACCTCTGATAAAAAAAAGCTTGTTTGATAGTTTTGGATACCATTGTGCAGAGATACAAAGAACAATTTCTTGAGTGCAAAACAATCGGAAATTGACCTTTATTTATATTTCGAACCTCAGGTCATTGATGATAAGACTTGAACAAGAGCGTCTAGAAAGGTTTATTCTACCAAACTGCTCGTAATGTCTTATCAGCTTGTGAGAGGGGGTTATGTGTTTGTAACACTTTAGAAAGCTTGCTCTATAGATGAAAGATAGAGCGTTATTTTCATCATCGATTTACACACTCCCACAGTATTCATGGTAAAAACACACGTTTCCCGGCGTGCGCGCTGTACATCAACAGTACACACTGAGTGACCCCGGAACATCCGATGTAATCAGTTGCTGATAGCGCGCTCATATGACCTTATGCAGTTGCGAGCGCCGTAAAACCCTGTACTAAGTACTACTAGTTGCTGATAAGAGTCCCACCTCAGCACAGACGCAGGACAAGAGTTTAGCTGAGCTAAGCATTTAAAACTCTTGGCTGATCTTGTAGTTCTGCTCGTTTAATTCCACGATCCATTTGTTTACATCCAGAGAAGAAATCAGTGTATGGAAAATATGGTATTAGTAATTAGTTCATATTCTCTGTACGTTATGTGGTGTACCCTATATTATTTCATGTTATGTCGTAGGCCTACCCTACCTGTATCACTCATTGTCCCTGTTAATCCGTGTTCACAGATGAAATCATCATCTACCTTTTATAATAAATGAACTACACTGAGAAGTCTTTCTTCATGATGATTTCATCTTGTGTTCAGAGTAACGGGAAAAGTAGTGAAGGGTACAGTGTTGACACTCGATTGGTAGATAGTCAGCTGTTGTCAGACGTCACAAGTGAAATACAAACAGAAGGCCCTGGTCCAGCAAACTTGGCTAGTCTACTCAATCTTTCTTCAATCAAGTTTTTCTTCAATCAGAAGTCTTGATGACCAAATAGCCAACACAAAGAACAAGGATGCAAAACATCAAATTATGGTAAAATTCAGGGGGGCATGTTGGAAAACGCCAAACTGGGAGTGAGGCGAAAACGCGGCTTGCGCATGTCCGCCCTTAGCTTCGTACTTTTCCCTTATATGTGTCTGGCGCTTAAGTGTCACGTTGGTTGTTAATGTGGTGCGACAGTGTCGATTGAGCATCAGGACGATTGTGCTCCGAGTTGTCATTGAAAATGATGGAAATTCGGGAGAAATTGATGCAGAATGTAAAAATAAATGGAACTGGAGCTGAGAAAGAAGCAGATAGTGTACGACTTCAACAGTTCATTAGAAATTTGAACAACGAACTGGGTCAAATGCTTGTGGGGGTTTTTTCAAATACATTTTAATTCAGTGTGGTTAACAAATCTGGATACTTTTCCCTTCCAAAAACATTGATGTTCTAAGAGCATGCCACTGGATCTCACTGGTTTTAATCTAGCCTTTGGAGAGCGCTCGTATGCCTTGACGTGAATTTCTTCTTTTTTTGATATTATATTGCTGAATGGCAGCTATGCTTTTTACTCATTCACAGCCATTACCGCTCCTGTGTCTGTCAAAAGGCGTCGGCCGCTCTCGCACCCCTGTCGGTCGCGTATTTTCCTTTTTATTTCTAATAATTGCCAATGCATATGCGGCAACGGCATAGCCCAGTTACTAGAGTAACATCCCTTTGACCACTCAGAGCACTTTCACTTTATCAGAATGATTTCCCTTGAAGTCCTGCATATTTTTGGAACAGGAGTTCCCTTTGTCCTATTTCTGGGTTTTGTTTTGCCGTCGGGTGACCAAAGTCAACCAAACGCTAACGTGATGTTCATGCCGATATGAATTGAAAACGGCTCGTAATTTTAGAGATTCTGAATCCATTATGATTCAATGAACTCAGGTTCAGATGATGAAGTGCAAAATAATGGTAGTGGTGGTAGTTTGAGATGAGAGAAAGAGGTAGATCACCTGTCGACAGAAGTAGGAGCCAGTACTAATAATAGGTCTAGGCTAGTACTGAGTCTAGTACGATGACTAATGATTCAAGCGGTGACGCTTGAAATAGTGTAGCCTAAGTCATCATAAACTTGTCAATTTAGTTCTCTTTGTTTTGTTACATATTTTCAGGGTTGGTGATTTTTTTGATTTTTTAAATTTTTAAAAAAAAAATCGATTTTTAAATTTAAATCGGATTTTTTGATTTTTTTGATTTTTTTAAAAATGTCGACACAGTTTGGGATTTTTGGTGGCTAAAAGTATGTTCTTTTAGTGCAGAATGCATTGTCTTTATTTTAACTAATGATTAATTTAAGCAACTGCAAAAGAAAGCCTCAATCTGCTATTATCAGTGAATTATGGCTACAGACAAAAAAATGAAGAAAATGTCAGTCTAAAAGGAAAGGGGGGGGGGAGGGGGTAATTATGCATAGATAAACTTGTATTTTAGTACAGTGTGCGTGTGTGTGTGTGCGCGCTTGTGTTTGTCTAAAAAAAAAAGAAAATGCTAATTTCAATTATGAAAAAAAAGTAAATTGAATACTGTATTAATTTACTACTTACAGTGACAGGGGGGAAAGCAGACTTTTAAGCAGGATTATATTAGTCTACTAAACCTTATATCTGTTTTATAAAACCAAGGAAAGGAATTCTGAATGTTTGAGGACGTAAAAACAATACATTTTTTTAAAGTGATTTAAATCACTCAGTTATATTTTTAAAATCAAGTTGATTCAATTTTTAAAAAATCAACCCAACCCTGGTTTTCAATTATGAAAAGAAAGAAAATTGAATACTGTATTATTTTACAGTGACAGGGGGGAAAGCAGACTTTTAAGCATGATTATATTAGTCTACTAAACCTTATATCTGTTTAATAAAACCAAGGAAAGGAATTTTGAATGTTGAAATATGTAAAAACTGAATAAAAATAAATTTTTAAAAAAGTGTTTTATTTAAAAAATCAAGTTGATTTAAATCAAAAAAATCAACTGATTTAAATCAACCCAACCCTGCATATTTTTGTGTGTATTTTAGGACAGAAACTTCAACAATCTCGCAAAAACAGCAAAAATGTTGTACTGGCTAGTTGGGCTAAAAAAAAAAGTTTAATCCCCAAAATTTTTCGTTTTTGAAAAGCTATAAAACCTGAACAAAATAACATAGAGTCAAAATTATTTCTGTTCAATAAAGCTCAACATCTTGTACTGAAACTGGCCATTTTTTATAAATCTAACATAAATAGGTACAGAGTAACTGGATTTTGAAAAAGGTAACAAAAAAAAAAGCCAGCATGCAGCGGCTTTTCCTGAGCTGTGGCGACGGCAACGAGTGAGTTAAGGGCTGATTGCAATCTTCCATTCAGACTCCAGAATCTGCACATTTTAAATTTTATTAAATTTGCTGAATGTGGGTGATAAAGTAAGGGGAATAAGGGTATATAAAAAATAACCTTTAGCCTTCACCAACCCTTACGCCTAG